TGTGTGTGTGTGTAGACTCCCAGCTCAGTGAACAGGGCAGTAAGCAGTGTGTGTTATTGTGTGTGTGTGTAGACTCCCAGCTCAGTGAACAGGGCGGTAAGCACCTGGCAGAGCGAATAGCGGAGCTGCAGGAGAGGAGGCGGAGCCTGCAGAGCACCCTGAACAGCCGACTGGGAGAACTGAGGCGAATCTGTCTGCAGGAGGCCGTGAGTCTGTCCCCTTTTTCAGTGCACACTTCTTCCGGCAGTGCATTTCCTCTTTTTAAAAAAAACAAAAACAAAACAAAAAGCCTCGTTCTTTTCCTTTTTGACACGGTCCGCCCGTGTGCAGGAGCTGACAGGAGAGCTGCCGAGTGAGTATCCCCTGGAGGCTGGAGAAAGACCCCCCCTCGTCCGGCGCAGAGTGGGAGCGGCCCACCGAGGCTCCGCCCCTGCCTCCGTCAGCATCAAAGGAGAGGTGAGTGGAACGTTCCACTATGGACTGGGGGAGGGGGAGTGCAACACGCCCGTTGCTCTCTGGTCATCCCGAGCAGCAGAAAGGAGTACCCACTCTGCCCTCTGGAGGGGGGTGGTGGTGGGGGGGCTCTTGTACACTTGGGACTGGCTTCAAACACCCCGATCAGCACTGGACCCAGGTTCACTCCAGGTCAATATTAGGGGAATATTAAGTAGGGTCTGTAAAGGGGCTGTTGCTGTGATACCAAGGACCCAGGGGCACAGAGGCCCTCTTCGCCCTCCCTGCTGCAGGGGGGAGGGAGACGCAGGGCGTGGGGCACGGCCCCAGTGGCTCCTGGGTAAAAGCAATAACCGCTGGCCTTCGCCACAGTTTTAATAGTCGCAGTCGGTGTCTGTGATGCACGAGAGATTGGCGGTTCACCCCCCCGCCCCCTCAGTTTAATTAAAATCGCACGGCTTGGCGGAGCTGTGAAACACATGCCAGGGTGCAAATTAGATTACGGAGCTGGGATGCCGGTTGGAATCGGAGTCTGGTTTCCAGCCGCGCCGTTCGGAGCGCACGTTTCTCTGCTGCGTTCCCAGCTGAGGAATTTTGATACCGAGCGAACTCTGGCATCGCGGTGCTGCTGTCGCCCTGATGGGCCGTTGCTGGTCAGGGCAGCTCTGGCTCGTGCTCCTGCCTCGCGGAGGCATTGATGATGATGATGATGACGGTGGTGTTTGGGGAAGATGGAGGGTGACGGTGCCGTGTCGTTTTCAGGAGGGGGGGGTACCCCACCGGCTGGCTGGCTCAGGGGACCCCGGCTCGGAGCCCCGCAGGAAGAAGAAGCCGGTGCTCAGTGGCGCCCTCCGCAGGCCGATGGACGCCGAGCAGCTGCCTCCGCAGAATAAGAGAGCCGCAGGCCGGAGCTGCCTCGCGCTGACAGGTACGGCACGGGGGGTGGGGCCCGGACTCGGGGATGGGCGTGGTACAGGTGTGCAGTGAGGACTTGTTTATCCTGGGTGTGAGTCTGTGCTGTGGTGCGCAGTTTCTCAGGCTCACGGCACCCACTGCTGCAGTGACGCAGTCGTGAGGTGACACTCGTGCACGAGATCAGACACCCAGGCCTCTTTCCCCCACCGGCTCTGAGACAGCGGCACGGGGGGGTGAGGGGCGAGAGGGGAGGGGGTCCCGACCAGGCCGTGGGAAGGAGGAAGGGCGTGTCTGCGGGGGGGGTGAGGCAGTGGGGCGCAGCTCTTCCCTGCCGGCTTCCAGGGAGAGGAAGCTGGGAAAGTGCCAGAGGGGAAACGGTGAGTGGGGGGGGGGGCTCTTCCATGCATTATTCCAGAGGCGACGGGGTGGGAAAGCAAACTGGAGACGCCGCGACGGCAGCGGGATCGTGCCCCGCCGCCGTGTGGCGCGGCAGCAGTTACGGCCAGCTCTTCTCGAACCCGTACACCGCTCCCCTCCTGGCCTGGCCGCGGGCCGCGGGCCTCGAAATGGCTTCGGGCTCTCCCTGCCGCCGTCCGTCCGTCCCCGCGGCTGCAGAGTGAGAGCAGTTCTTGCCGGCGGTGCGAGGCAGGGGGCTGAAAGAGGAGCACGGGGCCCGGCTCGGCCCCGCCTCTCCGGCATCGCCCCGGCGCGGGCTGTGAGCGAGACCCCCTGCGCACCTTCTTCCCGGAGAGCTGGGAAGGGGGGCGGGTTCTCTTGCTGTGGCGGTCCGGGGTCAGGGGTCGCGAAGGGGGCGGACTTCTGCCGGTCGGGCTCGGCCCGCCCCACCAGCAAAGCGATGGGGCCGAGGTTTTTTTAGAGCTGGAAACGAGCAGCTCTTCTCTCCAGGCAGTGCAGGGAAAATGGCACTTCGGTGCTGCTCCAAGCCTCAGGAGTTTTCCCCCTTATTGCAGTATCCTGAACGTACTCGACCAAATTAAAAATGGAGGCGACGATGTCTGATCTCCTCACCTTTGAACAGATGTTGAATCGGTGTGTCTTTTTTAATTAGGAAGCTAATTGGAGTGCGGCTCGGGCCTGTTCAGTGAGTCTGTGCACTGATGTGTGGTGGGAAAGGCTTCTGATTGCGGTGTTGACCCAGTCTTAATGATTGCAGTTGCCAGAATTTTGTTTTACGAGGCCTAGGGGAGCGTTTTTTTTTCTCCATTTTACACCGGGGACTTTTCCCTGAGCTTTTTTTAGGAAACGGGCTGCAGCATCCGAAAAGGCAGAACGCCATCCTTTTCAAAGCTCCTTGTGAGCTGCTCCTTTCTCCGTCAGTGAACAGAGCTGTGCTTCAACGGAGAACGGTCGTTACAGCTTGAACTGCAGGTAGATGCCTTAAATACAGTCAAGAGGAGTGGCCCTGCGATTTAGTTTCTTGTGTGGCCAGGGCTGTAGCGCCCTCTGGTGGTGATGAGAGTGTAACGCAGGAGGACTGTTGGCTTCCCCAACACAGGGCGTCCGATTCCACCGAAAGCTGCTAATTTTGCAAATAACCTTAATTTTTTGAGGATCATTGTAGATACAGTAATAAAGATACTCCTTTAAAGCTGTTAAAGTTTGAACATGCACAATGTTACGATTAAGAGGAAGCCATTTGGCCTGTGCAGTTCAGTTTGATAATAGCTAACTGATCCAAGGGTCTCATCCTGTTTTTTTTTTTAAAGCATCAAGGTACCGGCTTTAACACCATGGCTGGGCAGCTTTGTTCCACACTTCTGCTGCCCTTTGTGTAAAGATGCCTGCTTCTCTGTTGCAGAGGCAATTCCAAGCTCTTCCAATCTCCTGTCTGTGGCAGGTTCTGTCGGTTCAGGACATGTCCGGGAGGCAGTACTTTCTGAGGACTGCAGAGTGCTTTTGAAATGGCTGTGCCAATGGAATTGAAGCAGGTGTAGTTATCTCATTCATAAGAAAACACAAAAGGTTACAACTGAGAGGAGACCATTCAGCTCATCCCCGCTGTTTGAAAGAGCCAGGGTATCGGCTTCAGCGAGTAGCATGTTGGACCTGTTGGACGGTACGTTTATCCATCGATTGATTATTGGAAAGCTGCACAGGTCACTGCAACCCGGGACTTATCCCAGAAACCCCTTGTGCAAAACGGTGACGTCAAGTCGTGCACGTCCACAAGCACAGGGGGACAATTAACAGGTTGGCTAATTAACCAGATTTTCAAAATGAACCTTGAGGTACCGGATCTGGGAGGGCAGGACACATCTGGGCTCGAAGCTGCGTGCCCGCTCGGTGAGCGCGTCTCTTCGGTTCCGACAAGCGTGGGTTCTTGACTTGCAGTACTGTCTTAGAGGCCTCAGTGAAGGACGTGTTTGGATTTGAGGACCTTCAAGCCCAACAGCACGGCGTCCTTTCGTCTGTGCCTTGATCGCCTCTTTGCCGGTCTTTCCGTGTCTGTTCTCCCAGTTCGGACAGGGTCAGATTAACCTGATGAGCCTGCAGGCTGCAGGGTTTGCCGTGAGGCGGGAGCTCAGTGTTGTGCTCTTCTCTCCCCCAGATGAAGCGGTGAAGTCGGAGAGCAGCTCCATGTCGGACTCCACCGGTCACGACAGTGGTGAGTACACGAGGGGGCCGGGCAGAGGGAGGCAGCCCGTTACACTGAAGCACCCCGAGATCTCATACATTCACCCAGACACGAAACTGTAAGTGCAGCAGACGGGAGACTCCATCTCAAAATCCAGTTCAATTCGATACGTTATTGCCATAACAACCAGCTGCGTGGAATTTGGTTCGGTGAGCTCACACAATACAGATGCGCTGCACAGCGCAGCCAATAGCAGAGGGCATCCACTTAATGCACTGAACAAGCCATCCTGAACACGCACCGGTGGTAAATGATGGAGTAACGATGAGCTGTGCAAGAACATCAGAAGTTCGTGCACGCTGCAGCCTGCGGGGCGGTGCTGTTGGGAGCCTAGCGGCCCTTCAGAGCCCTCGTCGCCCTCGGCGATTCAGTGCCCGAGGTGAAGGCCAGCACCCGGCCCGTCGGCAGGGACAGAGGGTGACACGGCTCCCGTATGAGCAAGATTCGTCACGCTCGCCGGAAGGCGACGGGAGGGCGTTCCTGAACTCTCTTCCCTGCACCCTGTCCCCCAGAGGAAGCTCCCTCCGGGATGAGGCAGCCCCCGCCCGGAGCAGCCCTGGAGCGCCTGTCTCCCCCCCCTCCTCGGTCCCGGCTGGCGCCCGGGAGCCCCAAGGGGGGGCTGACCCGCAAGCTGTCGCCCGTGGAGATCTACTACGAGATGAAGACCCGCCGGAACTCGGTGGCCAGCTCCTCCAGGTGCGCTCCCCCTCCTCTTCCTCTTCCTCAGCCCCTCTGCCCCCTCTCCTCTCTGTGCCCTCTGGTCACGCTCTCTCTCTCTCTCTCTGTCCTCAGCCCCGGCTGCTCGCTCCCGCGCAGCGTGTCCAACGTGGAGGGCCGCAGCGTGCCCGCCACGCCCCTCCTGAGCCGCAACGCCCCACACCCGGCCCAGGGCAGGTGAGCGCACGTCTCCCCCTGCTGGAGTTCCCAGGAACTGCAGCCGCGGTCCCAGCGCACGTGGAGGGTGTCAGTTCAGTTGATTTCAGTTTGTCGTAGGCACCAGGGCGATGGAAATGCTTATTTATTTCATGTGCACAACAATACAGAGACATTAAGGAAACGCCAAACTTAAACACAGAACAGCAGCAACAACAACACAGTTAAATAACCCACAACTTCAAACTCGGCACAAGCAGTGTGTGAAAAAAGAAACGTCAGTGGGAGCCAGTGGTGGGGGTAGAGCTCAGTAATCTGACAGCCTGCAGGAAGAAGCCGTCTCTGAATCTGGAGCTACGAGCCCTGATGCTCCTATAACGTTTACCAGAGGGCAGGGGAGAGAAAGTGAGAAACGAGATGATCGTTATCCTTAGCGATACTCCCAGCCTTCCTGAGACAGCGCATTGTAAAAAATGTCCACAGCAGAGGGGAGCTGGCTGACCTGATCACCCCCTGTGACACCGTTCTGGTGCCAAACCACACGGTAATCCTATACGTGAGCACACTCTCGATAGTGCCCCTGCAGAATGTTGTAAGAGTAGTTGAACATAGATCTCATCTAGACCAAACCCAGTCCATTACTGGAGTAGAGCTCCCCAGAAACCAAAAAAAGGAACGTTTTCAAAAGCTGACCTACGTGTGACCCTGAATTCCCAGTTACACTATATATTATCCGCCGTTTCAATGTTTCGTCAACGTTCATACAGTCTCCACAATAAACTTCGTTGTCTTAGAGCCTGTAAATTGCTCCAGCACATCCTAATTCCCAGGTGAGCCCTGTAGTGAGCTGTAGTGAGCTGTAGTGAGCTGTAGTGAGCTGTAGTGAGCTGTGAGCTGCATCAGGCTATATGGCATCGTGCCCACCAGGAGGAAGACGGTGAAGGCCGTAACTCCTGCTCTTCGCTCTCCCCAGGCCGGAGGTGTCGGGTGGAGGAGTGGGCGGCAGGCAGTGGCTGGACAGCCCCGATGGACCCAGGCCGCCGCTGCCGCCACCACCGCCACCGGAGGGGTCCTTCGACCGGGGAGGCTGCCCGTACAGCGCCCGC